TTCATTTTACTGACTATTCTATAATGATACCCAATTCAGTTAGTCGAAATATCAGATTGTGTTTTATTAATCGTTAATTTACGACAGGCGGGTCCTTCTAGTTTACCGTACCCTGAATGATAGTCATAAACTAGCAACTAACGGATATTCGTTATAGAGAGAATGGTTTGCTTTTTACCAACTGTCAATTGTAGAATCAAAAGGTGCGCCCACTTCAAAACCTCTTATCAGGAGAGTTTGATTGATATTCGTCGTTTATCTAAGGTGATCGACGGCACTAAACCTGCAATGATTTTCTCCTCGATCTCGTAGTTATCTAAAGACCAAATTCAACGAATCTATTCATAATTATGCGTCTTCGCTCTTTTAGAACACCCACATATCGTTGTCACTTTTCGAGCAGCGTCAGAGAAAAACCAGGGAAAATGCCGGCTCGTGCAGGCATTCTAATTATTGAGCGGTATGAGGCGGCCATCCTTAAGTATCACAATTCATTGACGAAACCGAAAAAGGAGGCGTTGCAGCGGAACTGACGGAATCGTTTGAAGTAATGATATGGCTATTAGTAGGTGTGTTTCGGCGTTGCTTGAAAGAAGCTAACATTGCAGGCAATTGGACTGCCTCTTCAGTTGTTCTACAGAATGAAGAAATGTCAGGATATTCAGGCCGATCACTTTGTTGCCGGTCAGCAGCAAGATTTTCACGATTTTCACGCGATGACTAACAGAGTAGAAAAACAGAACTGCACAACCGAAAGAGCAAGCAGGAAAAAAAACAGCTGGATTTAGTTCGATTGAATATTTCCTGTAGTACAACAATAATTCAGACAAGCAACGAATATCAGCTTCTTTTTGTTTGGGTTAGTCGATTTTGAAAAGTCTTTCGAAAAGGTGTGCAACCGATCGTAGTAAATTCATTGATGAGTCAGAAAATCAAAAAAAAAAGACAGAAATACAGGAACTTCATCATCATGACTCAAAACAGTGCAAAAAGTTAGTGTGAAGATTAGCGATGGCACAAGCAAAGTCAACATCAGAAAATGCTTCCTTTAGGGTGATGCAATATCACCGAATTGTCCTCTGTGATCTACACAAAATTTTACGGCGGCATTTTATAGAGGCCTGTAGTGATTCTAAAACGGGTGGCAACTCCACCCCTCCTGTTTAATGAGCAATAAAAAACCGCTTCGGATTTTATTCGGTCTCCGCCTGCTGTGAATTACATACCACGCATTCCATGCGCGACACGACAGCACGACTTGTTTGTGAAGCGCAGAAGAACCTCCGTCACCTACCTATCCAGTAATCAGTCAGAAGGGGACCCTGTGGGCGGGCGGTGTAATCTGCCAGTAGAAGGATTCGAGAAGTGTCGTTGATCGTCATCATGCTTCCGTGTAGCCTAAAAACGAATTAATCGTCGGCGATCATTCATCGTCATGGATCGATCGAATTAAACGACGCCAGCATTACCGTTGAAAGCACCATTGTTTGGCCTCCTTCCATGTCATCGACTCGTTGCTGACAAAGAAGCAACGCGACGAGATTTGCAACCACCCTGCCAGTGGAAAAATGTATTCTTTTATCTAGAGTTAGAGGGCATCATGGCTGAAAAACTCTTACCTTCTCCCTGAGGACAGTGAAAATCCATGCCGGCGCTGTAGAATGGCAGACTTGCCTAGAAAAACATGCATCTTAGACCAGAATCGAACTCGTTCTGTGACTTGTCGAAAGACCCACCATCTCGGAGCTGGCCGCGTGGTATCTCAAAACAATCAGTGCCACCGTGTACAACCACATCGACGACGACGATGAATGCCAGTGAAGATGAAAGAAGATGAAAGAGATCAAAATCCCGAATAACCTTTGTTCAGGCAATGGCCCCGAGTGACGGGGTGACATCACTGTCCATTTTAATACTCGTACCGAAACTGCGACGCCACGCGACGGGGACGTGTGAGTTCGAATATCCTCGTACGACCGACGAAGGCCACTTTCTCCAGTCCGGTTCTGAGAACGGTGCCACGAAACGAACTGGTTGCTCTGCAAGACAACGACAGTCGGTTATCGCTCGAACAAATCTCGTTTCAGCCGTGATTACGCCGATGGTACCGGTAGCATATTCGCTCAGCAGGGCGTCGAACGAAATCCCTGTTCTACCGACCGACCAACCGACCTACCAACTGACCGATCGGTACGCCTACAGGAATTCTGTGCGTTTCAAAATTCCTGCATTCACAAACACCTGTTTGCCAGCTCCAGCCTTCTTTCTGGACGTCACCCTCGGTTTTCTTAGTGCTTGCTCATCGCTTCGTGTCGCGAAACCGGCTTTTTCAGACCTAGTATGAAACGAACGACCAATCATTTTACTAAAATGCCGTTCGGAACATTAAGTCATCTTTTCGTCATCGATCATATGAGGAGACGTGACGTTCTGCTGCTGCCATACTCCCCGCAGTTGCCGTCAAACGAGTGAAACGCTCTATGGTTTTCTTATCAATTAGAAGTTAACCGATCTGTACATATATCAGTTACTTTTTCTGGGTCTTCCTACTCTGGGCTAATTCCACAGCATGAGGGATTCAGGTCAGGACTCTCGATATAAAATAGCGGCCAAGTTCAGGAGCATGAAAGAAAAATGAGCAGTTCAAATTGAATTGTTATTTGATCTGCTCCGAAACACTTGTCAATTTCTAGTTAAGCTACAAACAGCAAAACTGAAAATGACCGGAATGAGGATTATGTTGATTAGTACACCTTGCTCTTCATCAGCAGCAGTTTGAATTCTCTATACATGTCCACTGTTAGGCGTTTACCTAGTCCCTTGAACTGCTGGCTAGTTTTGATCAAAAGAGTTTTACTTGGAATGCTGTTCATGATGATATGTAGCCATATTGTCGTTGAAGGATCCACTTCTTCTGCCCTCGATAATGTCCCATAAATTCATTAATCCGTTGTCGTTCATTCTAAAACGCACATTCTACAATGACTGATGTAACATTAGCCTCATTCCAATTTCATTTGTCTCCACTACTCTACGTCTGTTCAGAATCACAGTGCATTCAGTTATTGAAATCCTGTGCTTAGAAGTTAGAGATAATAATATCTACCCAAAGATCTCATTCACCATCATGAAGCAAAGCCATACCTCTCGTTTATTTTGTTACACATCGGAACATCATGCTGTCCTATTGTTCGATAGCTAGTACCCTTCTGTCCGCTTCTTGATTGATTGCATAGAAGCAATGTGAGGTGAATGTGCTATTTTTCTGTACCAAATATAATATTTAAGACTCATAATGATACCAATACCGACTCAGCCATAAGTCATGCTCTAACGCGGCGGAAATGGCAGTGGAGCCAATGCAGCTATTGCAAGTTCTATTTTTGCCGACAGTGATTTGTAGCGACTCCTTGCCTGAAGGGTTCACCTTATCCCGATGTTCATCGACCACCATTTCATCGCCGCTGTTAAAGTCAGGGCCATTCTTCAGGGTATGAGCAACAGGACCATAATGATCAGCCTTACGGTACCTGATGGCTCTTCTGTGTTGTGTTAATCTAACTTTTGACACTCAACAGGTCTTGCCAAAATATATTTGGTCACAGCACTGCAAGCTGTCTGCTAGACCACGGTTTTACTCTCCAAGCTTTTAATCGGAGACCGAGCTAGCGTCCAGCAAATCGGGTCAATTAGCAACTGAATCAGCAGTTTGTAGTTTGTTTCTTGTTCTTTCCTTGATGGTGACCGATGCCAATTCGGTTTAAACGTTGGAACTGTTGAAAATAAAACAATTTTTCTTGTTTTCTCTTGCTGCCAACCATAGAATCAAAAGACCTATCACCTCTGTACTCAAACCTGGTACTTCCGGCTATCAATGCCGGCGTAGCTCTAGCTCTACCACTGCAATTAGCCCTTCCTGTCTGAAAATCAGCACGTGGCATAAAGACTAAGCAGGTTAGAAGTACAACAACCGTTTTTGCATGTACCCTGTCGTGGTGGTGCTACACTGATGAACAATGGTGTAAAATCCAGAGTTGCGATAACATGTCTGAATAGAGTTCACAAA